CCTTGGCCGGCCACACACCATCAGTGCCTGCACCTTAACAGACAACTAGCTTTGGTTGAGGTACTTTCTCAGCCTCATTATCCATGTTGGGGTGGCTATTATGCCTGTGTGAAGTTTGGGACCAATAACACACTCAGTACAGTGCCATGAGATCATCAAGTATGGAGAAAGGATTTGGATTCTCATGGCGGCAAGCTACAAGCAATTTAGCAATTCTATTTTCTCATCCACCAGCCACAACACAGCAGAATCTCTTGATAATATTCAAACTAATGGTTCAATGAGCAGTAATCATACTCAGACATTGAATGAGTATTTAAGGGACAAAAATGTTATTGAAGAAGGCAAATGTTTCTATAGAGCTTTTTTATCTATACAATATGTACATGCCTCTCTCTTCAGAGCTCAAGCTTAGAATTTATAGAAATTTACGAGACAACGTCATGCTCTCCCACACCATATCTGCTGAAGATGCCTTCAAAATTGTACAAATTGAGCCAGGGTTCTTGCATGATAAGCTTTCCACCAAGCCTACTGTACTGCAATCCATAAAAGGCATAATCCTCCAGTGTATCTGCTTGTTGTGCACTTTTGCAGCAGTGATTGCCTTCTCTATCACAGTTGGTAATCATGGTTATCCGTGGGAGGACATTTACATAACTTCTTGTTGGGTGGAGCAATCTTTATGGACATTTATTCAGCTATTTCACACGCTTTTTCTGATTGGACAATATCCTGTTTATCCATTCTAATCAATCCGGTGCATAAGTTTGTGGGTTGCACAATTGTTACCAGTTTGGTTCATTTTAAGGCCAGGAAGAAGGGAATCGTATTTGTGGCACAACATAGCCTGATAGATTATTGCCTCAAGGTCAAGACATCCGGCTGGACTTCAATTTTGAGACTACTCTACACTAAAGACATTTTGGGGAGGGTTTTGTGCACTTCTTGGGAACAAGTAAACCCATTCCTGAAGGACTGAAGGACTTTATCCAATCGCATCTTCAAGATAAGTTCAAGTGGTATCAAAACATTATAGATGAGGAACTGGGAGGGAAAATTGATGAAAAGTATAAGGAATTTGACTACGAGTTGCTCTCACATATATTGAGGGAGAAGGGGGATCATATGCTTCAAAGCAAACAAATTGAAAAGGATGATTTAAAATGGTGCATTAATGGTGTAGAATTCAGCCACAGCATCCTTGTGTGGCATCTAGCAAAATTTCTTCTCTTCTACGATGATCATAGAAGATATTCTAGCAGTGTTCTGGGTTCATATTGCCAAATTAGCAAGCTGTTGTTAGATTATATGATGTATCTCCTTGTGGTGCGGCCACTCATGCTTCATAAAGGGATTGGTCAAGGATAAGAGATACTTGGGATGAGGTGATAAGATTCTTTGGTCACGTGAAATTACTAAATAACAATGATATGCTGCCAGTGCTTTGTTTCACAAAGATAACAACTTTGCATTTTTGCCAATTCATAGCAAGTCAGTTTTGCGGGATGGTTGTAGGTTGGCATCTATGTTGAAGGCATTGGTGGAGGTATCGCTGTGGGATCTTGAAGAAAAATGGGAGATAATTGCAATAGTATGGATGGAAATGTTGGCATATGCTGAAAGCAAATGCAGATAGAAACATTATGCAACGCAGCTTAGGAATGGTGGGGAGCTGCTTACACACGTAGCGCTTTTTATAGCACATCTTGGGTTGACGGAACACATCCAAATTGTGGAACAGCCAACTGAGGGGCAATCTTTGAAGTGGGACTGGGAAAAGCTTGCTCATATGTCTTATTGCCTGGCATAAGATCATCTTTTCAAAGGCACAATACCTTATTAGGAGCCTGTTTTAGTTACTTAAAGTTGTTTTAAAAGTGTTGTTCGATCACACAACTTCTCAAGAGACTTGTATTATGAAATTATATTAGAACAGTCATGGGGTAAGAATTTGCTATATGAATTTTCATTTTTATTTTCCAAATTGGATGAGATTAAGTTTTAATACCCTTAACACTTCATGTGTGTTTAAATCATCTATGTAGTTATTCATATATACATTAGTGTTATGTCTCAAGATGGAACATCTGGATTATAATTTATGAGAAAATTATGATTCAGGACATCATAGTATTTTAAATGTCAGGACTACTGTAAAATTATTCAAATAACTTTAATAAAAATTTTTTAATGTTTTAATAATTTTTTTTATGTGTTGATTTATTTAAAATATTTGAACTTTTTCATTATAGCTTTTGATGATATTTTAGGAATTAGAACGGCATGATTTTCATTCAATCTCATAATCATAATTTATGTAGTACAAAACAAAAAAAAAAGAGTGAATATTGAAGAGCCAGAGTCCAATCCCCTGTTAGACTAGGAGGAATATTCGGTGTCGTTTCCTTCCATACTTCTTGGACGATCCGTTCCGTACAGCTGCGGTGATGTATGGCAAGAATTGGAATTGAGATGAGATGATCTGATTAATAGCTACTTCCGTTAATGGCACTGCAAAAGTGGCTGTTAACGGTGCGTACCAACAAAAACAGTTGTTTCTAATCAACCATCGTAACATCCTCCATGGTCCATATTCTCGCTCAAGAACCAACTTGAGAAGGACGTTAATGGTTGAAAAAAAGTGCGTTCTGCACAGGATGAACTGCACACGGTATTCTTATTGCTAAAATAATAAAAATTGATGGCGTCGCTTTGCCACATCATTCGTCTTAATTTTTCGTGCGTGCATCATTACCCTCCTTGGTCTTCCCAACAAAGCAATAGTCTATCTCTAATTCATTCGGCTTTCTTTATCTTTTTTGTGGAGAAACGGTGACACATTCTTGACTTGGTGCTTAAGCTTTAAAAGCACCAGATTTAACTGTTATTTATATCTTGCTTTACAAAACATTTTGTACTGTTTTCTTTCAATAGCCAACGGACAAATTAACCTTTTTAATTTTTTTATAAAATTTTTAAATGATGTTCCAACTCTTCTTCTGTTTCTGTAGTTATATTCTTAGCTTTACCACTAATGTTCAGAGAATAGAAGAATTTACTTTAATTAGCTTAAAGTGTTGCACGTAGGAGTTTGGGCCTTGGAGGCCAAGTATCAATTTGCTTCTTATGATTCTCTTTTATAATATTGGACTAGCAAGGCATCAACATATATAAATGTCAAATTAATAGATCTTCAACTTCGTTAAACAACTTAAATTATCAGCGATGCTGCTCACAAGTAAGTGTTTTCCTGCCTTATCATCTCTGTGTAAACTATATTTTTTTGGTACATTAATCATTATGTTCATGCATTACATAATCCATAAATATGGTTAAATTTATATTCATCTATCACCGGAGCCAATATTTTTGCCCTGTTTTGCGTTCAGGTATATATCATTTAGATTCTTTTTTCCTTTTAAATTATTTTCCGAATTGATATTTGGATATGTGAGACATTTGAACTTGGAATGCAGACAATACCTTACCCGTTAAAAATAAGAGTGATTATTCTATTATAATGATAGTTAACTACATAGCAAATAAATATATTTAGTGATATGCTATGAGAAGAGATACTACACTTGATCTTAGCCAAAAGCCTGAGAAAAGTATATTTCTAGTTCTTCACAATGTTTTCTGAGTCATAATTTACAAATTAATTTCTAATACACACAATGGAATTTTGCATGTATGATCATATCTGCAGCCTTGTGATTAGAATTTTTTAATCCCCCCATACTCCCTATTTCTACATTTCTAGTTTTCACCACGTATATGCATCATATCAGAACATGTTTTCTATTTTCAGTTGCCAGTGCTTTCTTCTTCACAGAAATCAAAAGTGGAGTCTTCCAGAAAATGTTCTCCGAACTAGTTGAAGAACTTTGGATGAAATGGGAACTCCCAGGAATGGTTGTATTCAGCCTGCTTCTCCAGTTTCTTCTTGTTAAGTTTGGCGATCGTCAGAGATACCAAGGCAAACTTTCTCCATACTTTGCCATGCTTGTTTGGTCTACGTACTTGTTAGCAGATTGGGTAGCCACTGTTGCTTTAAGCGCCCTCCTCAAGGCCAAAAAGCATGAGCTCAACAGCGAACTAGTTGTGTTTTGGGCA